CCACCGTAACGATTACAAAAGCTGACGTTTCGAGCGTTAGCCCTTCGTCGGAGCGAATAGAGGAATTGTGGGTTGTGTGTGCTTTTAAAGGCAGAAAATGGAGCTACGTTATTGGTGGGAACATGGCAACGAGAAAAACACGAATAAATTAGTGGAATGAAAAGCGTTCGTTGATCCCTGTGGGATTTAGACTGCCGGTTTGAAAGATGAGCTTTTGTTCAAGAGTTTTACGGCTTTCCGTGCTACCTAAGTGTAAGGAAAGACCGCAGATTGCCATATGTTGCTTAGAATGGTTTGGTAAATTAAAATGTCTAGCGACTGGTTTCGATGTGTCCTTGTCATTCCTTTCCACGTCTCTAAATTTGACAAGCCAAATGTAGTTTCACACTCACCACAGGTTGAAGATTTTGCTGTCACCCTCTTTACATGGGTTGTCTCTCTGATAAGACGCTGGTTGGTTTGATCCATGCCTGCGTCAATGTCATCAATGATTTCTGCAGCACATAAAAAAAAAAACCAACCCTTTGAATCTACGCAGAACAATAACAGGACTCTAAGCCCTGACTGCTACAACTAGTTAAAATTTTGGCAACTAAATTTGCTGACACAATTTGGTAACCTGAGTTCTGGGATACTGATAAAGTGGTACATTGTGACAGCTTCATGACTTCAGTTAATGGTCTAAAGTCAAAGTAAGATAAACACATTTTCATAAAATGTTATTTTTGCTCTGTTGTTTCTTCATGAAAAATTTCATTCTTTCTCCTTAAGCAAACTTTTACCACCCTGCTATGTAAGCTCTCATAGGTTAAGGCACGAGCGTACCTTTGCTTTGCCACTTTGCCTGACAAATAGACTTAAAAACAGTTTTCTTATTGCTTCGGCCAGAATAGTCAACAGCCACAAATAATGTACAAGTTCCCCCTTACGACGAACTACGTATTTTTTAAATAATAAGATGTAAACATGTACATAGTAATTTTTATTTTATATCTGTGAATATGCAATTCAGTTCATGCTGCAAAGTATTTACCAATAAAGTATCTATCTATCTAACTCATTGCCTGAGTATCAAGCCCTGAGATGCAAGAACCCCTAAAAACTAATGTCAGCCATACTGCGGACTCCAAAGACAAGCAGCATGACCAGCAGATTACAATTAGGACAAAGGAAATGCTCAAACTATGACTAGTGAATACTCAGAACTAGCTTATCATGGAGCCAACAAACAACAAAGGAGTCATTAAGAAACAGAAAAAAATTGTTAACTTTGTTAGTGACCCTCTAATCAGACAGGGATTAGCCCATACGCCCAATAGGGGACAAAGAAAGGATACTTTAGGCCCAAGCAAAATACGTTTCCTCCCCATTAAGAAGAAGTTTCTTACTTCTAACCCTTAACCCCCCCCCCAAACCATTTCTTAGAAATTAATTATTTTACAGTGATTTTATTTAGCCTCCAAAATGTCTATATATCAATTCGAAATTTGATGACAGCACTCAGTTTTCAGGAAAGCACGCTGTTTAGATTCAAGTCAACTAAGAGTTGTAGCAAGAAGTTTGGTGACAATACTGACCATTCTGCAAATCTACTTCATCTGAGATAGCATGTCCAATTAATTTCTGCCTCTGTATGATTCCTGCCAGGGCTTCTAATCCTTGGTCTTGTTCTAAATGTAGTACAAAAATAAAAATAAAACTGAACTGAGACATGCACTGGATACTCACCTGACTTTTTCCAATACACTACTTAAGTGATCTGATCTAATTGCAATTATTAAAAACTGGATCATTGGAAAATGCAATTCAAGACTTTTTATTGGCTCAGCCATTATGGCATATGAGCCAATATACCATAATCTAATTTCTGTACATTGTTAAATCTGGTTTCTTCTAGCAAAATAAAGTCGAGAAGATTCTTGGGGGCGTTTTTTTAATAAAACAATAATTTCACTCTCGCTTGTTGGATATGAGATGATTATAGCCAACGAGGCGCGTAGCCCCGAGTTGGCTATCTATCATCTCATATCCAACGGGCGCTCATGGAATAATTGTTAAGTGTCTCTTTTCAACTGCACAAAACTGGTGTGACTAAACTGAACTTGCAGCAAGGAATACCTGCAATAATTTGTTGTTGCTGTCTCCTCATATCGCCAATTGAAATATTGCTATCAGGTTCAGGCTCATCAAATGGATTGGTGTCTCGCCCCCCTGGATCAGTTGCCAGTAATGAGCTCCTAAAAGCATAAAGTGAAAAAATCTTTTCTTCTTACACTCAAACTCCTACATTTTAATTCAATTAAAGAGGAGAAATGAGGTTGTAACAACAGAAGTTTCAGATAAGGGATCCAAAATGAAGATTTTCATTGTTGTCATCTGCCCTACCAGAACTAAGCAACTCAAATGGCCTAAAAATGATAGTTGTTGTAAGCAAAGAATCAATGATGCCATTTTGCTATTTTCAGATTTTTATTGGGATGCAAAAAAAAAAAAATCATCTTTGAATGAGACTGTAATGCAAATTCTAACATTCCCCTAATACCCTATCTTTAAGTTTGGAAATGAGATCATGAAATTATTTTTAAGGTAGGCTGAAGAGGGCACTTTTGTGGGCACAGGTTCACAAAGGTCTGACAAGTTCCTGATGGGTTAGAAGGTGACAAAGGACCTCTTTCATCTTTTCCTCTGTTGCAAGAAAGTGAGATAAGATCACAGTTTCATTACTCTTTGATTAATTACTTGGTTTGCAAACCCCCTTGCTCTTACCCTGAAATTTCTGTCAAATTCCCTTAAAGATGAAATGAAATATTATACAAGTCACACAACACCACTGGAAATGTCACATGAAACCACTGCAAATGTCACACAAAACCACTGCAAATGTCACACCAAACCACTGCAAAAAGAAAAAAAAAAAAAACTTGATTTCCAAACCTCTCCCACCTTCCATAATCACTCTGACCAGCCTCTTGTTGAAAGGCTGCAGTCATCTGTTTCTCTCTGGAAAGCAAAAGAAAATGCAATGTCCCAAAAATTAACTATAAAAAAGAAAATACCATCAGGGACCAGTTGTATAAAGGGTGGATAACGCTATGCAAAGGATAAATCGCAATCCGGCGGATAAGTGATAGAAAAATGTATAGCGTTATCCACTGGATAGAGTTTTATCCAGTGGATAGCATTACCCAACCTTCCAACAACCGGGACCAGGTCTCTGAATGCAGGATTTTCATTAAAAAATATAGTGGCAGAAGAATAACTCTAAGTAAATGATTACAGAAATTAAGAGAATATTCTGCATAGCGTCAAAGTATTTCTCCACTCCTTATATCTGTTGAATACCCTGTCAAAGCAAGGGCACAGCTAGAAGGTCCTAAAGTATCCCTCTCTCTTCCCCTTCTTTGCTAAAATGATCCAACTCAGAAAATCTACATGGCATGAATCTTTTCAACTGCTGGATACTCTGTTTGTCTGTCCTCCTCACTGCTTTTATGCCAGCCAGCCCACTCATTGACAAGGATGATCAGTGAGTGGAATAAGCCACTTCCCTTAAGGTAAGCAGGAATTAGTAACCGTTGCCTCCCTCTGGAAAGTCCTCTAACAACACCTCTGTGAAGTTATTAGTATTTTGGATGACTCCATAAAAAGGAACATTGATTTGAGACTTACTGCACAATTAAGTTCATTTCAAAAGCATAATTATTCAAAGTAAGTCTGGGAATTAGGTATCCATCATTTTGAAAAGAGTAACTTACTTGGTTATCAACTGGTCTAACATACTCTGTCTTCGGTCAATTTCTCTCTCGGTACTACAGATTGGTTGAGGAGACATGTTGCATAACCAAATGCAATTTATCACTTTTATTTAAAAAAAAGGGTAGGTCATGAGAATTAAAAACAAGCCAAGATTACTGTTATTAAAGCACCACATTTGTCCATTCTCACTGCTTGTTTACTAGAAAAAGATTTTTGAGGTTGAAAGGAGAATTTACATGTTCACTACTTCTCAGGGTTTAACCTTTTACCCCCC